TTTGCATTGTCTCTTAGAGTTCTTTGGGCTGAACCTGACATAAACTCTACTTTCTGCTTCTTCCTTTATCTTCTACTTAAAACGTGTTTGTTCCCTAGATACCTCGAGTCATCTCACAGATACTATCATCCAATAAACGTACCAAGCAAAGTCTACCCATTAGAAAGGAACCCCCCTTTTTTTTTTTTACCTTTAATACTTTTTTAATGCCATTAATAGTGGAGGAAAGTAAGGAATGCACTTTATGGTCATCATTAACGTAATCAGCATGTCTGATGCACATGAAAAGGATGTAGGCAGGCAGGCAGGGCACGGTGGCAGATACTATTTGGGGCTTCAGATCTGTGAGCAGAAAAGAAAGCCTTTCAACAACTGGATTCCTTAGCAATTTAAATTCTGTACCGATGGGCCCTGGGCACTTATCTAAATCAAAATCAGTCACAGAATCATTTTTATTAACTGGCCTCATTCCTCCAGCATAACGTATATTTAAAGATCTGTCCCATTTAAAAAAAATCCAATTATTCCCATGACTTATTTTGGAGTTGCTACCAAGTAGAACCATACCCTGCCAATAAAGAAAACTGAAATAAATAAGGTTTGATGATAAATTGTTAAACATGTAAATCAGTTTTTCAATTCAATCTTTTAAAATGACATTTATACTTCTTCTCAATTTTATAAGGACTTTCCCCCCTAACAATAATAATATTGGTACAACCAATTACTTAAGAGAAGTTCTGGGCTCCCTTTCACATTTAAGAGAAAATAGTTTCCTTTAATTTGGATTCCCTGATGAACAGGAATGGGATTCCTTGACTACTTAACATTAGGAAATGCTACCTTCAAACTCTGCAATCCTAAGACTCTAAACGCCTGATTAGGTTTGTTCTTCCTTGGGTAGCAAGCCACTAGAAGCCCCATATATAATATTAACAACTAGGTTGAGAAGCCAAAAAAAATTGTTTACCTGTAATGAGATTTTTTATGAGTAAAGGCTCATCTTCTTTGCAATATTCCAACATTCCCTGAAAGTCTTTCTCCTTTCTTTGGACAGCGACGTGCCTATTGAGTTCATGCTGCCGCTTTTCGGTCTGTGTAACGGCTTGATCAGCTGTGAAAGGCAAACCAGTAAAATACTCAGACCCTTTTACAGATGACCTAAAGCAGCAGCACCCTTCAGAGGTCTGGCTGACTCAGTGGTCTGCACCAGCCCTTTGGAACTGCAGAAATGATAACTGAAGTAAGGTAAATGTAACATGAAAGATGTCTCAGCTCTGGTTGAAAAGCTAGAAGGAAGTTATGGAACTGTGTGTTTCCTTCTCATCCTCTTCAGTGTAAATTCCAAGGTAGGAACCAGCATTACCTTGAAAGAGAAACGTAACTACCCACCAGTACTCTATTGCCTATGATTAAGTACTTGTGACTAATGAAAATTGATTGATTATGTGCCATCAAGTCATTTTTGACTCCTAGCGACCACATAGATAGAAAGCTAAGATGTATGGTCCATTTCCCTGTCTTGTGTGGAGCAGCGTTCAATCACAAAACCTCCAGCAGACAATTGCAGATCCCATATCCAGGTCTACCGCTATCTGCTGCTTGAAAGACCCAGTTGCCCTGGCCTGGAGATTTACACCTCCTATTCTGGACCCCTCCTATCCTTTCCTGAATTTCCCCAGCAGTGCAAAAGAACCTATGCACAGATTTTTCCAAGCACATGTACCAAGAAGAAAGCCAACACATGTTTGGAAAAAGATCCAGAGTCCCCATAATGGATCTTTCCCATCAGTTGTTCAGTGGAGAAAAGATCTTACTGGTCTTTCCAAAGATAAATTCGCAGGTTGCTACCAGCAGCAGCCCCCAAATATTCTAGAGACATAAAACTGTCTATGGGTTCTGACTTTTGGTATACTCTACATACGTACATACATAGGTACATACATACATATGCCTGTATGTACACACAGACACATATATACACGCATTATACAGGGTGTACCAACCCATAAACAATTCATTATATAAATTACATTAAATGTTTGAATTGGTTGCCATTTTCTTCTAAATGCCTCCTTACTCATTTGGCACATGACCTTTGAATGTTCCTACATACAGTAACTTCTTCTCTGAAAAAATATTAATCAATTAGTAAAACATTGTAATTGGCCTATGTGGTCTGACTTTTGGTACACCCTGTATATATGTAACATACAATCACAGAAAAGTAGTGGAATTTTTCAAGATTTTGAGGGTTTTTAATTTTCTTTTTTTCTTTGATTTTGTTTTTGGTTTTTCTTCCCCTTCTTTCACTTTTAGCTTGTATTATTATTTTTTTAGGTATATAACTCATTTAATAATAGTTTAAATGAAATATATTAGTTTAGTTCTTGTAAATAATTGTATTATTTTTTGTAGTTGTATTAGTTCAGAGATTCAATAAAAATTGTAGATATAAAAAGACTGAACTGGAAGTGTAATGAATAGGTTTTATCCCCATTTTACCATTACTGTGATTCTCATCATATTTCGTGTGGCTTAAGCGTGCCTTGCAATGTAAAGAGAAGATCTAGCCAGAGCAATTGCATCATTTGCTATACCTAACCTCACTCTCAACGGGATTCAGTAAAACTCTCAGGATTTAGCCCTAGAGAACATTATCTATCTATCTGTCTGTCTGTCTGTCTGTCTGTCTGTCTGTCTGTCTGTCTGTCTGTCTGTCTATCTATC